TAAAAGCAGGGGAGGGACATAGTATTGGAGTGGTTGGTATTTTTGTTTAATAAATGTATGAAAGAGGGCAAGGTACCTAGGGATTGGTGGAGAGCATGTATAGTCCCTTTATATAAAGGAAAGAGGGACAAAAGAGATTGTAAAAATTATAGAGGAATAAGTTTACTGAGTATACCAGGAAAAGTGTACAGTAGGGGTTATTGAAAGAATTAGAGGTAAGACAGAATGTAGAATTGCAGATGAGCAAAGAGGTTTTAGAGTGGGTAGGGGATGTGTAGATCAAGTGTTTACATTGAAGCATATATGTGAGCAGTATTTAGATAAGGGTAGGGAGGTTTTTATTGCATTTATGGATTTAAAAAAAGGCATATGATACAGTGGATAGGGAAACAATGTGGCAGATGTTGCAAGTATATGGAATAGGTGGTAAGTTACTAAATGCTGTAAAGAGTTTTTATGAGGATAGTGAGGCTCAGGTTAGTGTGTGTAGAAGAGAGGGAGACTACTTCCCGGTAAAAGTAGGTCTTAGACAGGGATGTGTAATGTTACCATGGTTGTTTAATATATTTATAGATGGGGTTGTAAAAGAAGTAAATGCTAGGGTGTTCGGGAGAGGGGAGGGATTAAATTATGGGGAATTAAATACAAAATGGGAAGTGACAGTTACTTTTTGCTGATGATACTGTGCTTATGGGAGATTCTAAAGAAAAATTGCAAAGGTTAGTGGACGAATTTGGGAGTGTGTGTAAAGGTAGAAAGTTGAAAGTGAACATAGAAAAGAGTAAGGTGATGAGAGTATCAAATGATTTAGATAAAGAAAAATTGGATATCAAATTGGGGAGTAGGAGTATGGAAGAAGTGAATGTTTTCAGATATGTGAGAGTTGATGTGTCAGCAGATGGATTTATGAAGGATGAGGTTAATCATAGAATTGATGAAGGAAAAAAGGTAAGTGGTTCATTGAGGTATATGTGGAGGCAAAGAAGGGAATGTATGAAAGTATAGTAGTACCAACACTCTTATATGGGTATGAAGCTTGGGTTGTAAATGCTGCAGCGAGGAGGCGGTTGGAGGCAGTGGAGATGTCCTGTCTAAGGGCAATGTGTGGTGTAAATATTTTGCAGAAAATTCGGAGTGTGGAAATTAGGAGAAGGTGTGGAGTTAATAAAAGTATTAGAGGGCTGAAGAGGGGTTGTTGAGGTGGTTTGGTCATTTAGAGAGAATGGATCAAAGTAGAATGACATGGAGAGTGTATAAATCTGTAGGGGAAGAAAGGTGGGGTAGGGGTCGTCCTTGAAAAGGTTGGAAGGAAGGGGTAAGGGAGGTTTTGTGGGCGAGGGGCTTGGACGTCCAGCAGGTGTGCGTGAGCGTGTTAGATAGGAGTGAATGGAGACAAATGGTATTTAGGACCTGACGAGCTGTTGGAGTGTGAGCAGGGTAATATTTAGTGAAGGGATTCAGGGAAACCGGTTATTTTATATAACCGGACTTGAGTCCTGGAAATGGGAAGTACAATGCCTGCACTCTAAAGGAGGGGTTCGGGATATTGGCAGTTTGGAGGGATATGTTGTGTGTTTTTATACGTATATACTTCTAAACTGTTGTATTCTGAGCACCTCTGCAAAAACAGTGATTATGTGTGAGTGTGGTGAAAGTGTTGAATGATGATGAAAGTGTTTGTTTTTTGGGGATTTTCTTTCTTTTTGGGTCACCCTGCCTCAGTGGGAGATGGCCGACCTGTTGAAAAAAAAAAAAAGTTTGACGTGTGTAAACTGCCCAGGATAATCCAAAAAAAAAAAAGATCGAAGTGACTTATTTCCATTGGAGTCCTTGTAATATCTTATTTAAAGCCTAGCAGAAAGTTACGGTAGAAATCAATCATAATTATAATCTTAAAAGCTAAAACACCTAAGTAACCCTGAGAGACTGTGCACCTCTCAGTGTGTTTATCTGATCAGCAACAGAGAGAAGTTGAACTATCTCTTATCAAGATGCATGGCCTCGGGAATTATATTTTGGGGGGTAGGGGGGATTGATCTAGTTTAGGGATTGCGCTAGTTTTGAGATGTCCCGTAGCTCGATCGCTAGTGCACTCGGCTCACACACTGAGGTCCAGGGTCTGAATCTACTCCAGTACGTCTTGAAAACATTAGGGACATGTTTCCATAAGACACCTGCTGTCCCTGTTTACCCATCAGTATAAAATTCGTACCTGGGTGTTAGTCGACTTATGTGGGTCGCATCCTGGGACAAAACTGACCTAATTTGACTCACGAAATCGTAATGACACGATTGCAAACAAACCATACCCCGGCCGAGATTGAACCCGCGGTCAGAGTTGGCCACGCTAGCTGGAGATTCGTCTGTAAAAACTTGCATTTGTGGTCACAGTGGTGCCTGTGCTAACCTTCCTATGGTGTAGAAATATACCTAGTTGACGAATCTTATTGTGGCTAGCTGGTCTAGTGGCTAACGCGACGGTCTGGAGTTTTGAGACTCTCTGACCGCGGGTTCAATCCCGGCCGGGGTATGGTCTGACCTAATTTACCCAAAATGCTCTACATATTATTATAATCAAGAAGCGCTGAACCTACAAGAGTCATAGTGTCAATGCTTTGCATAACAAGCGGCTTTCTATACATTATGTAGTATGTCACTGATGTCAGCTAGGTCTGTATACCTTGTACATGTAGAAATAGATATACGTATTATGTCTGCCTTACCCCTCTCTCCCCCTACTTGCCCGAGACATTTCAGTCAACTGAGACATCGGTCAGCCGCCAGCACTAGTAGAGGAGTAACGAGAGTGTATTCTATAAATTACACAGATTGACGCCACATGATGCATTTTTGACAATTAGTTTGGGGTACTGTTGATTCCTGTCATGTTTTTGGCATATGTTGGAGTTAGTACTAACAGACCTTGTTTTGGAAACTGGCATTATTTGGGCAATTGGATCACAGTAGTTTGTGTGTCATGGATTGGCTCATTTGTCATGTTGTAGACATTGTTAATATTCATGGTTTGGAGAATCGCTCTTCTCCTGTGGGCTTAAAATTAATTTAGGCTAGGAGGGAAAATTAATCAATATCTTACAATGGGTTTGACATGCCGAGTCATTTTGTCAGGTCAGGACAAGGCCTGTGTTAGTATATAGGCAGTGTTACGGACTCTTACTACTTCTTGTACTTTATGGACACTGTATAGAACACTGGTGTGTAATAAATGGAGAGGGAGTTGGGTGACACAACTAAAATGTCCGAGTCAATGTGACTCGGCAGAGCAAGTGGCCCTCGATTATTTTAGGAGCCTTCAGATCATTGTGAAAGTATGTTCTGTGTAGTAATACAATACTGAAATATAGATTAGTATTTGCATTTGACCAACATTTGCAATAACTGCTACAAGCGTTGTAGCAAATTTTTATATAAAAAAATCCAAAAAATTATCATAAACTAGTGTAATGTCTAAAACATTCCAACAACCCTGCAAAACATTGTTGATCATATGCAGTGTCTTATTTGTGGAGACAGCATAAACCAAATTGTGAGAACGCTCCTTCCTGCCTTAAATGTAATGAGGCCAAATCTGTTTTCATTCGGAGAACTGAAGTATGGTGTTAGGAGAAAGAGGTGGTTTGTCATTTCCCCAACACCACTAATGTCCAGTAGTGCCTTCCAATATTTTCACTCCAGAATCCAATGTGTATACAGCTTAAACCTTTATACCTTTACTATCCCACAATTTACATCGTCCCCTTAGTACCTGCATCTCTCCCCCAGACTTGCAATACCTGCCACTTAGATCAGTAAAAGAGCAAGAGCACTTCCATTCTCCACAAACTAGTTTCAGACCACCTACATTAGATTAACCACTATTACATCAACCACTGAAATACATGCACTCTTCCTGTCCCCCGTAAGCATGAAATCTGTCCTATCTTCACAAACTGTGCCATTCGAGTCAACTAGTCCCTTACAATATCCTCTTCCCTTGGTACCTGCCCCTCTCTACTCCACAGCCCTCACTTGCTTCACCTTCAAGGGCCAGTCATATAGCACCTGGAATAGCTCAAACTCCTCAGATCAGAACCTCTTCACCAACAAGGCATTCAAATGAAAGTGACAGTTTTGCAATTAGGTATCCTTTGACCTAGTAGATCACGTGGCACTATTGCCAATAAAAATGTAAGAAATACAATATCTTTCAGTTTTCAGTTAAGTGCATTTTTGTGTAGTACATTTGCTGATTTCTGAAGAATCACTTGTACATGTCCCCTTTGTAGTTATGTCACTTGCATACCAGTGTAATAACTAAAGAATTATATCAGGGAAGAATTATACCTTTTTTCTTTATTTTTTTTTATTAATACATTTCAACAAATCTATATAAATATAGTACTTATTGCATTGATACTTGGAAAAAGTATTAAAACTATTATGTATATATCCAAAGCGAAGCAATATTTTTACAGAAGCCTAGAGAAAATCTATCTTGACTATTACTGAAACTCTGGATATAAATTTTTTTTTTTTTTTCCATATGGCTGTATCCCACCAAGGTAGGATTATTATCAAAACCAAGCACCAAACCCACGAGGGTAAGGAAGAGTATACTAAAGGTTTAATATGCTTTATCAGAGACAGCTGTATAGTCCTTGTGGCTTAGCGCTTCTTTTTGATTATAATAATAATAATTTATCAGAGACAGGTACAGTTATTAAGCATTGCGAGGAGTGCTAAAGGAAGTATAATCTAAGTTTGTGTAATAAACTTGTTGCTGTAAAAGAGTCTGTGTCAAAGGTGGGCCACCAGCGAGGAGGGAAGATAAAGGGTGTACGAGTGGTGATGTACAAGATAAAGACGATCGTGGTTCTGATAGCTGGTCATGTTTTATAATTTGATTAATTGAAGCAGCAGATAGTTCTATAGCCATATTCCTCTTAAGTAATAGTTTTAATAGCTGTAATTTCAAATTTTGACCAATATAAATAATGTAAACTGATATAAAATTTTATTAATCTTTACTTAAGTAACATTGCCCTTCTAATTTTCAGATTCTGATACCTGTTCTTAGCAGCATATACCAGTGAGGCTGCCAATGTCTATTACAAACCATTTTTATACACCAATGTTTAAACTACAGTATACTGCTTCTCATAAATGTATTTTGTATATAACTCCTCATAAGACAGCAATTTTAATATATAAAAATATACTCATCTCTTTTGTGCACAATACAAAATAAATTTCCATCTTGTTGAGATGGTAGAGGTTGTAACATACCAAGGGCTGGAGCCACTTATTGCACTTTTTTTTTTTTTTTTTTTTAAAACGTGTCACTCAAATTTGTTGTCTTCTCAATTTATATTTGCAATAATTCTAGGAAAAACTGGGAGAGTGAATAACTAAGACCATACTAGTTGCATTATGCAGTAGCATTATATTCATCATTGGCACTGCATGAAATACATCCAATATACATTTGGGTTTTGAGTTTTTCTGCTGCCAGAGCCCAGCCCTAGACCAGGCTTGTCTGGTCAACCAGGCTGTTGCTGCTGGCCCATATATACATTATAGCTTGGTTATTTTTTCTCTCTCAAAGATTTCAACAGCTGTCCCAGCAGTGCTTCTATCTTCTTGTAAGATGTTGAACAGTCTGGGACCAAGGATGTTGATATAATGTTATTGTGCCCAAGGCATGCCTACCCATCAATGGGCTTATTTTACACTTCCTCCCATTTATCACCATTATTTTATGGCAGTGTGCAGATTTGGAATCAAGCATTCAAGTACTTCCATGTACATATTACCACGCATCTCCTCTGCTCCAGCAAAGACATTTATTGGCTTCTTTCAAGCTGTACATGAGTAGTCTTTGTATGTGTTCAAGCTCTGAACGGAGACATTGTCATTGAACAAGAGCACAAGTAAATTTAAGTGTCAAATGTGCACAATTTTATTTTTGAAAGTTCTCATTATCTACCCCTATCATTTTCCTGGCTGTCATGGCATTTACCTTGTATTTCTGAAAAGCCAGCTGACATAATTACTCCCAGGTCTTCACATATTCCTTTCATTCTACTTGATGATCCTCATGGGTTTACATGTATCCCTCTTGAGCTCTTCCCTTTTCTTTTCTATTACCCAAGCAGCTGGAACATATTACAATTGAATGTCATGTTTTCCACTGCCCACTGGAAAACCCTGCATATATCTTCCTGCAATTGTTTTTAGGGACTTCTACAGAGGTGACTTCCTTGCTATTTTGGTGTAATCTGCAAATGATACAAAATCATGACAAGCATTTTTATCTGTATGAGCCCTTTATACCCACTTAATGCTGGGTTTTGCTCTGTTTACTATCCTTTGTGTTCTATCTCTCAGGAAAGTGAAAATCCACCTCCCCCATTCAGCACTGAAGTGTACACTTGGTGTTGATTAAAAACCAATGCCATAACTGATGACTTGGCAAATGTACAATGTTGGTGATACTTTACAATCATAATTATTCTCTTCTTCACCTTTAAACAATGTATAACCAGTACAGGTTTAGAGCTTAAATAGGTACCACTAAACTAGGTAAACATGTTTGAACAAAGTCACAAAACTCAATTTTGCCTAACCATATTCAGGCCACAAAGAAAAAATAATTGCTCCAAGTTAGGGGAAGGGGGGGTGGAGTATACCTCCATATTTGATAAGGGGCAATATAAAAAATGAAAAGGTGTACACTGAACTCAAAGCTGCTGTCAATTTAAGAGCTATAATTTGCCAAGTTTTAAACTCATTCTTGTATGGTACAAGTGCTGTATGACCCCTACAGGTTTAGTGTTTCCTTATAATTGTTACACTCAAAACTTAAGTGCTAAACCCACAAGGGTCATATAGCTTCCCTATAATTTGTACCATACAGTTTCAATAATTCACCAAGAGGCTATTTTAGAGTGGATCAGCAATGTAATATGTCTCTGACTGGTTACACAGCATTGTGTAGCTGAAATCCTGCACCTCAAGTTCCACTATTTACAACAGTCCCATCTTAGCTCGTGAGAGATGCTCACGAGCAATAATGAGACGCTGAATTTGTGCTGTGCCTTCATATATCTGGTAGATCTTGGCATCTCGCATTAACTTCTCAACTGGATACTCAGTGTTGAATCCATTGCCACCAAATATCTGCAGTAAATAAACATTTTCAACAAGGCAAATTAATTCATTGTATTGTATGCTGCAAAAAAATCTTATGGCAAATAACTTGGTGGTTTGAACCTATGATAAGCCAGTGCTAACTCTGCCTTCTGCATACCTCTAACCTTCACATATTTCATCTTCAGCATGTCCAAGCCTTATGGGTTTAGCGCAAAGAAATTATAAGTTTTCAGGTCAGAAGATAAATATTGTACAAGAATCAAATGTACAGTACTGTACATAATAATCGTGCAAGCATGTTGATATAAAAAACTGACAATTTTTTGTTTAACACATCGGCCATTTCCCACCGACGCAGGGTGACGCAAAAAAGAAATATTTATATCTTAAACAACAATGTGGTGAATCTCCAGTGGTTTAAATTGGGAGTAAAAACCTAACCCAATAAATCAGCCAATGTTCATCCACATTGTAGGCCATAATCTGAGAAATATCCACTTTAGGAGACAGTTCTTGATGGACAAAACAAAACGACCAAAATTGCTCATAGAACTTGTTAACATTACTTAGAGTGGGAGAGACACTGTCAAGAAATTTTTCTAAGAATAAGAAAAAATTTTGGAGTGAGATAAACAAGTTAAGAAAGCCTAGGGAACAAATGGATTTGTCAGTTAAAAACAGAGTAGGGGAGTCAGTAGATAGGGAGCTGGAGGTATTGGGCAGATGGCAGGAATATTATGAGGGCCTTTTAAATGTCGAAGAAAGGGAGGCAGTTATTTCATGTACTGGCCAGAGAGGTATAACAACTTTTTGGAGGGAAGAAGAGCGGGATGCGGGTGAAGCATTACGTAAAATGAAAGGGGTTAAAGCAGCTGGAACTGATGGGATCATGACAGAAATGTTAAAAGCAAGGGAAGATATAGTGTTGGAGTGATTGGTATTTTTGTTAAATAAATGTATGAGAGGGGAAGGTACCTAGGGATTGGCAGAGTGTGTGTATAATTCCTTTATATAAAGGGAAGGGGGACAAGAGAGATTGTAAAATTATAGGGGAATAAGTTTACTGAGTATACCAGGTAAAGTGCATAGCAGGGTTATTATTGAAAGAGTTAGAGGTAAGACAGAGCAGGCTTGCAGATGAGCAAGGAATGTGTAGATCAGGTCTCTACACTAAAGCATATATGTGAACAGTATTTAGACAAAGGTAAGGAAGTTTTCATTGCATTTATGAAATTAGAAAAAGCATATAGTAAGAGCAGATAGGGGAGCAATGTGGCAGATGTTGCAAGTGTATGGAATAGGTAATAAGTCACTAAATGCTGTGGAGTTTTCATGAAGGAAGTCAGACTCGGGTTAGGATGTGTAACGTCACCATGGTTGTAAAAGAAGTAAATGCTAGGGTGTTGGGGAGAGAGGTAGGATTAAATTATGGGGAATCAAATACAAAACAAGTTGACACAGTTACTTTTTGCTGATGATACTGTGCTTTTGGTGGATTCTTAAGAAAAGTTGCAAAGGTTAGTGGACGAGTTTGGGAGGGTGTGTAAAGGTAGAAAGTTTTAAGTGAATATAGACAAGACTAAGGTGATGAGGGTATCAAACGCTTTAGACAAAGAAAAATTTGTTATTACATTGGAGGGAGTATGAAGGAAGTGAATGTTTTCAGAATTTGGAAGTTGATTTATCAGCAGATGGGTTTATGAGGATGAGGTAAATCATAGAAATGATGAAGGAAAAAAGGTGAGTGGTGACTTGAGGCATCTGTGGAGACAAAGAATGTTATCTATGGAGGCAAAGAAGGGAATGCTTGAAAGTATAGGGGTACCAACATTCTTATATGGGTGTGAAGCTTGGGTTGTAAATGCTGCAGTGAGGAGGTGGCTGGAGGCAGTGGAAATGTCGTGTCTATGGGAAATGTGTGGTGTAAATATTATGCAGAGAGTTACTAAAAGTTTTAGTCAGAGGGCTGAAGAGGGGCTGTTGAGGTGGTTTGGTCATTTAGAGACAATGGAACAAAGTAGAATGACCTGGAGAGAGTATAAATCTATTGGGGAAGGAAGGTGGGGTAGGGGTTGTCCCCAAAAAGACTGGAGGGAGGGGGTAAAGGAGGTTTTGTGGTCAAGGGGCTTGGACTTCCAACAAGAGTGAGTGAGCGTGTTAGATAGGAGTGAATGGAGACTAATGGTTCTTGGAACCTGACGAGCTGTTGGAGTGTGAGCAAGGTAATATTTTATGAAGGGATTCAGCGAAACCAGTTAACCAGACTCGAGTCCTGGAAATGGGAAGTACAATGCCTGCACTTTAAAGGAGGAGTTTAGGATACTGGGAGTTTGGAGGGACATCTAATCTGTTGTATCTGTGTGCCTCTGCAAAGACAGTGATTATGTGTGAGTGAAAGTGTTGAATGAAGATGAAAGTGTTTTCTTTCTTTTTGGGTCACCCTGCTTCAGTGGGAAGCTGATGTGTTGAAAAAAAAAATATAGTCATTAATTACATTTCCTTTACCTGAACAGCATTAGCAGCAGCTCTGTTAGCAGCATCTCCAGCAAAACCCTTGGCAATGGATGCAAAGTAGGTGTTGCGGCGACCTTGATCAACCTCCCAGGCTGCTCTCATCCAAGCCAAGCGGCCCAGCTCAGTTTCCATCGCCATCTCTGCCAGCATGAATGAAATAGCCTGAAAATAAAAACGAGGCTTCGTATTTCATGATACATTACTTAAAAGGTACTCTTTCCATGTGTGGCAACGTGGATAGTAAGAGTAAACTCAAAATTCTATGGAAAAAAAGGCCTCATAACACAGTATTTGTGTATCCAAACAAAAATGAAAAGTATAATCAAATAAAAAAAAGCTGGTGTTCTAAAAACACTTTTCATGAAAGCACAGATGTTGAGTCCTTCCCTAGTAGCACTACTGCATTATAATCATAGCTAAGTGCTAAACCCATAAGGGTAATACTTCATACTATATCCACTCATAAGTTCTTTTTATACCTTGTTGTCTTAGTTACTGAAAATAAAAATAGATAATTTCTTTTAAATTTGTGTGTTAAACTTTAAATGAAAAATCTTGAGATGCAGAATTTTTTACTGTCCACTGTATCTTCCCACCTTCACACCCGTTGGCAACAACGTTGGTCTACTATGCTCGGCAACAAACTTCAATCTATTAAACCGAGTATAGGTTACTGGCCGTCTTCTTATCACCAGTGTCGAGGTTGGGAGACTACTCTCTCCCGTCTTCGCATTGGCCATACTCGTCTTACTCATGGATATCTCATGGAGAGGCGTCTTGCTCCTCTCTGTGAGAATTGCCAAGCTCCATTATCAGTCAGCCACATTCTGTTGGACTGCCCACTTTATCAACGAGCACGCAGAATTTACCTCTGTCGTCGTCTTCGCTCCGCTGCTCTCTCTTTACCTTCCCTTCTCGCTGATGGACCCACCTTTCATCCGGACTCTCTCATTGACTTTTTGACAACAACTGACTTACTTCACAAATTCTGATACCTTCAGCCCTTTCTACTTCAATCTCTTGCTACCCTCTACCCCCGTACTATCACCTGCCCCGCTGTTTTCTGTAACCTGCTGATCATCCCTCCTCTCTTCTGCCATCCAATACCCTCGCTTCCTTCCCTACCCTGCAGCGCTGTATAGCCCTTGTGGCTTAGCGCTTCTTTTTTATTATAATAATAATACTATCCACTGTAAAAATTGAAATTCTGATTATCTCCTGTGGTATTATTTTTTTTTCTTTCTACACTTAAGGTCATGCGACACATTTTCTTGAAATGTCGAGAAACTGTGATTACATTGCCAGAAGTTGCTGCATACAATAATAAAAAAAAAAAATGAACAAAAATCCATGAACTTCATTGCTACTCTAGAAAGCAAGGCATGCCATATATACTGAGTATTTTTATCCTAATGGTTGGTGGAAATGATAAATAACTTTCCAAAAATAGTCATGTAAGCTTGTGGCACTAAATTGAATATTTTTTCCATCATTATTAGCAATATGGTGAATATCATATCTTTGCAATGCTGGGAAATGGTCTACATGACTTGCACTTGAATGCCATGCTGAAATGTACTTGGGTTATGAACAAAGATTTTGAAAAAAAAAAAAAAAAGACACGAAAAAAATCAATGGCTCAAATTTTACAACCTCAGATTCTAGTATCATTTGATACTCATGATAACATTTACATGAATGTGTTTTCTTCTTGAGTCACCCCGCCTTAACCAATGTCAGCTGTCGAGTTAAAAAACACTGTTCATCTTTTAGGTAGTTTGAGTATGATTATTAACAGTTCATGGATTTATTTAACAAAAGCAGTACTGTATGATCCTAGTGGGTTTAGCACTTTGCAAAGACAGTGTGTATGTGTGAATGATGGTGAAAGTTTTTTACTTTTTTGGGTCACTCTGCCTCGGTGGGAGATGGCCAGTGCTAAAAAAGAAAAAAAAAAATATCAAAAAAAAAAAAGGGAAGTATATAGCAAAATTGCTCTATACAATTAAAGGAAGAGTTAAATGAACAGTCAATTCAGCTTCGTAGGGAAGAAATTTTTACAAGGGAAAAAAAAAGTAATGTTTACCTTACTTAATAATACACGCCACTGACAACAGCAGTGAAAAAAACCTTAAATGCGTATGATCAGGACTATCATAATGCTACTATATTTGACTTTTTATTAATGGCAACTAATGATCAAATACAAAATAATGAGTTATCATTTACAAAAGAGATTACAGGAAACACTGTATTGACAGTGATAGTATATGTAGTAAGGTTAGTGTAGTTCTACCTATTTTTTACCCCTCAAGGAAGGTTCCTTGATGTTGGTGAGGGGCTCTTGATTTAGGGAATTGGATCTGTGCTCCAGTTCCCCGAATTAAGCCTGAATGCCTTCCACATCCCCCCCCCCCCAGGCGCTGTATAATCCTCCGGGTTTAGCGCTTCCCCTTGATTATAATAATAATAATACCTATTTTTTAATGTTCCATAAGGCTGAGGATGAAACTTTCTCAATAATATACATGTTTTAAATTCTGCTAGAGGAAGGGATGGGGCTACACTCATTAACACTGTACAGATCCTGCGAAAAGCAACAAAACAAAGCAAAAAAATTAGCTTCAGGCAGGACTGCCTACTTACCTGATGATTGGCAATTTGAGTTCCAAAGGTCTTCCTTTCCAGTGAATATTTGGTAGCTTCATCCAGAGCTCGCTGAGACAGCCCCACAGCTCCAGCAGCCACAGGAGGTCGAGTGTGGTCAAAAGCTCCCATTGCAATCTTGAACCCCTCACCCTCACCTAAAATATTCCATTATTATAAATCATTTACTGTACGTTATTAAAAGTACTGAAGCAAAATTTTCCCAAAACTGTAATGTTATGCCATAGTAAGTTAATACTGTACAAAATTTTCTTGGATTTTAGAGGTACTGTATATAGAGAATTTTTGTGACACACGAGCCTATGCACTGTACAGTAATTTTTTTAAGACGCTGAGGCAGGATGACCCACAAAAGAAACACTTTCACCATTATTCACACTATCACTGTCTTGCCTCTTGCCAGAGGCATGCAGATATGATGGTTTAGATGTTACTCTAGACTGAAAATATCCCAAAAAGTAATGTACATCTCAAAATAATCATGCTTTATAACTAATGTTTATTATACTAAGCATTACCCAAGAGAACGTTTTCCTTGGGAACAACCACATCTTCAAGCGTAAAGCCACTGGTGTTAGCACAACGCTGACCCATGTTTATTTCTTTGCGTCCTTTAGTCAAACCGGGGGAGTCGCCATCAACAATGAAACCAGTAAAAGCTTTAGAAGATGGACAATTTGGGTCTGAGCTGTGTAAAAATAAGGAAATATTGTTTTTAGGTGCTGATTACTATCACTGTGGATAGTTTTATATTGTATAGTAATAATAGTAAATATAGAATAAGCCTTAAACTGTAGATAATATATATATAAATAAGGTCAATAAGAATTTTTAGCATGTACTGTATAAAAATTAATAAAAAAATACAGTTGTAAACTTTGGGATTTTGTAAAGCATATAATCAACAAGTAACCCACAAATAGGACTTAAATCTTTAGATGACATTTTGATCTATTGTGGACCACTGATAAATTGCAACTGGATAATAGTCAAGGACTGAAGAAAAGTCACCTGAAAAACAATCTCAAATGTGCAGGTTAGTTGGGATCTGGTCAACTCAAGCATACAATAATTTGATGACTCTTGAAGCTGCTTCAAGGAGTGTCTGATTCAGACTAATCTATCATTATTAAAGAATATTTAAACAGCACTAACACAGTTGCACAAAACAAAATAAATGACACTTTTCTCATCTCAGCAACAAGCATGTAATGATGTATCTTATTGATATGTCATAGTATCATTTTTTTTTTTGTAATTACAAATTAGATTTAATATACTTAAGGCAAAATGCTTAATAAGACAAGAAGCATAATTGATACATATATCTTACTTTGTGCGAGCTAGAAGGAAGTACCAACTGGCAACTCCGCCATTAGTGATCCACATCTTCTGGCCATTGATGACATATTCATCACCTTTTCTCTCAGCTCGAGTTCGAATGCCAGATACATCTGACCCAGCACCAGGCTCTGTTACACCATATGCCTGAAATTGTTTTATCAATATACAATTCCCACTAACTATAAACATATTAGCTGAAACTTCAAGTATTCTATTTCTTCTCCTTTCAACACACCAGCCATATCCCACCGAGGCAGGGTGGCCCAAAAGGAAAAACAAAAGTTTCTCCTTTTACATTTAGTAATATATACAGGAGAAGGGGTTACTAGCCCCTTGCTCCCGGCATTTTAATCGCCTCTTATAACACGCATGGCTTACGGAGGAAGGATTCCGTTCCACTTCCCCATGGAGATAAGAGGAAATAAACAAGAACAAGAACTAGAAAGAAAATAGCAGAAAACCCACATCCACACTTACTACTGTGCAATTTACATCTACAGGACCTTAAACTCCAATATCAACCTTGACCTAAAATGCTTTCTTGATAGTTGTGACAGAACCCACAGGCATAACACCAGACACAAACATCTCTACGACATTCCCCGTGTCCGACTAAACCTTTACAAAAATTCAATGTATGTCAAAGGCCCTAAAATCTGGAACACCCTACCTGAGAACTCTAGAACTGCAGACACATTCATCACCTTCAAAACTACCATTAGAAAACATCTTATCTCCCTGATACACCCCATCAACTAACTACATGAATACCACCTGGAGGTTCACACTTACACTCACTCACCCATTTGACCATAAACAGAAATATTAATCTCAATCTTAAAATAATGAATCCTATGATACTCCAATACTGAAACTATGTACCATGCCAAAACAAAAGCATTCACATTGCTAAACTCACAAACTAGTATTTAGTCACTTAGCCATAATACCAACTTACCTCATAATTTGTAATATTTTAAAATAAAGAACTAAACTAAGTCTGCCCGAAATGCCTAGCCATGCTAGGTGTTCTAGTGGTACACTCTGTAATCATTATTTAACTACATGTAAACCACACAATAACCGAATTCTGTAAATTCAACATTGTAATCCTTATAGAGAATAAACTTTGAATTTAATTGAATATATGCTTGTACATGTATGTGTAGTGTGACCTAAGTGTAAGTAGAAGTAGCAAGACGTACCTGAAATCTTGCATGTTTATGAGACAGAAAAAAGGACACCAGCAATCCTACCATTATGTAAAACAATTACAGGCTTTCGTTTTACACTCGCTTGGCAGGACGGTAGTACTTCCCTGGGCGGTTGCTGTCTACCAACCTACTACCTAGGAGTATTCTATTTATAGAAGGATAATACGGTAGTAAACCCTCAAATTAACGAACCTGACTGGGTCACTTGATTTGGAAATCCCCCTCCCTCCCCCAACACACACACACAAGACAGGATGTTCTAGAGATGGAACACAGAAACAAGAGGTCACAACTGGAAGTTGAAGACTCAGATGAGTCTGAGAGATGTTAGGAAGTACTTCTTTAGTCATAGAGTTGCCAGGAAGTGGAACAGTCTGGCAAGTGATGTAGTGGAGGCAGAGACCATAGTTTTAAGACGAGATATTATAAAGCTCATGGAGCAGGGAGAGAGAGGACCTAGTAGTGACCAGTGAAGAGGTAGGGCCAGGAGCTGTCTCGACCCATGCAACCACAAATAGGCGAGTACAAACAAACAAACAAACAAACACACACACACACACACACACACACACAAATGCAAAGTCATGAAGATCGGGGAATGGTAAAGAAGACCACAGACAGAGTAGAGTCTAGGTGTCCAAAGACTGCAAACATCACTCAAGTAAAAAAATCTTGTGATGAGTATAATACCAAGCACATCTCCTGATGTGCACAACAACCAGATAACTGCTGCAGCATATGAGCACCTGGAAAACCTAAGAATAGCGTTCTGATACCACAGCAAAGAATTGTTCAAGATTCTGTACACTATGTATGTCAGGCCCATATTGGAGTATGCAGCACCAGTTTGAAACCCACACCTGGTCAAGCACATCAAGAAATTAGAGAAAGTGCAAAGGTTTGCAACAAGACTAGTCCCAGAGATAAGGGAAATCGGCCTGATAACACTGGAGGACAGGAGGGTCAGGGGAGACATGATGACAACATATAAAATACTGCAAGGAATTGACAAGGTGGACAAAGACAGGATGTTCCAGAGATGGGACAAAGAAACAAGAGGTTACAATTAGAAGTTAAAAACTCAGATGAGTCAATGGGATGTTAGGAAGTATTTCTTCAGTCACAGAATTGTCAGGAAGTGGAATAGTCGGGAAAGTAATGTACTGGAGGCAGGGACCATACATAGTTTTAAGACAAGGTTTGATACAGCTCATGGAGCAGGGAGAGAGTGACCCAGTAATGATCAGTGAAGAGGCTGGGCCAGGAGCTATGACAACCCATGCAACCACAAATAGGCAAGTACAACACACACACACACACACACAACACACACACACACACACACACACAACACACACACACACACACACACACACACACACACACACATCCACACACACACACATCCACACACACACACATCCACACACACACACACATCCACACACACACACATCCACACACACACACATCCACACACACACACATCCACACACACCTACACACACCCACACACACCTACACACACCCACACACACTACACACACCCACACACACCCACATCCACACACACACCCACATCCACACACACTCCCACATCCACACACACTCCCACATCCACACACACTCCACATCCACACACACTCCCACATCCACACACACTCCCACATCCACACACAACTCCCACATCCACACACACTCCACATCCACACACACTCTCACATCCACACACACTCTCACATCCACACACACTCCCACCCACACACACACTCCTAATAGTTTGTCCAAATGATACACGAGCCTAAAACAGCAATGAGAAATAGGATACAGAATCAAAGAAACGAGAATGAAAGAAAAACTTACACATATGAGAGGTTCTTCTGTCAAACGTCCCAGGTACTTTTTCTTCTGATCTGCATTGCCCGCAAGGATCACGGGCATTTGCTGCAAGATAAAGAATTGTCTAAGAAAACATAAAAAAAATAGGAATCTTTAAATAAGTTTAAAAATATACACTGCATATTAAGACATATTTAATCCTGAATACTGTTAACTCTGCTCTAAATAGAAAGTCATCAAGGTACTACCTATGAGCATTTACCCAACTACTGAGTGCTGGCACCCTATTTTTGTCTACAGCCACTCCAGATGTTTGGAGTTTCAGTAATACCATCTTCCTCCTCCTTGTGACCTAACTCATTGTCAAAAACCCAATTAAACTCCCTGTTTACACAGTCATAATTAATCAAAATCTTCATGCTTTTTCTTATGCTTGCAAGTGTGAAGAGAAAGTGAACAGCAGAAAGAACTTTTAAAAGATTGTTGAGTAATAATAGTTATTCCTCATGTACAAATTTCCTTTACTCTATGTGCAAATTTACTATTATGCAATGAAGTATTTCTTCTGGTAATTCTGTACATGTGATTTATGGTTGCTGTATGTGATCAGCATGGTTCATAAAGAGCATTAAAGATTCCGATTATGTATAATTAAGTGTTTATGGCCTGAAACACATTTACAGCCAGGAGTCAATGTATTCATTCCATCAATATTGGCGTAAGTGAAACGTTTCCAGAATAAAGATTCCCTGCTGGCAGCACAGGAAAAACTCCAGAATGCCCTACAGTGTGTAATGTCATGGGCTGCCACTTGGGGTTTGGAGGTCAGTGTGGCTAAGTCTTGGCTCATATACATGTACTTGACTAGATGCGTCTCTTCTCTTCCATCTGTTTCATTTGGTCAGGCACCAATCCCACTGGTCTCGTCTCACTGACGGCTGGGTGTCACCCTGGATGCCCCACTCTTGACATGGAGGAAGCATATAATGGCCCTCCACCTCTCCTGTGCATGCCACATTGTGCTTAAGCACCGGATCTCTGGCACTAAGTGGGAGGCAGATCGAGACCATTTTAATTTTTATAAGGCTATGGTTTGAAGTAAGCTCGCTATGTGAGTGAGGTACATATATAAGAACATAAGAAAGAAGGAACACTGCAACAGGCCTACTGACCCATGCGGAGCAGGTCCATGCCATCCCCCCCCCAGGATTAGCCCAATGCCCTCCCCCCCCCCCCCCGGATTAGCCCAATGACCCACCCAGTCTGGTCACCTCCACTCAAGGAAGGAGCACGGCACCAGACCCAGCAGCACAAGCTAGCCAGGTCCAACTCACACCCACAAACACCCACTCGTGTATTTATCTAACCTATTTTTAAAACTACACAACGTTTTAGCCTGAATAACTGTACTCAGGAGTTTGTTCCACTCATCCACAACTCTATTACCAAACCAGTGCTTTCCTATATCCTTCCTGAATCTGAATTTTTCCAACTTGAAACCATTGTTGTGAATCCTGTCTTGATGAAAGTTAAGACACTTCTGCAACATGGGGTTATCTTTATTGTAGACGTTTCGCCATCCAGTGGCTTTATCAATACAGATTCTTGGACATAATTAGAAAACAGAAGAACTATATACAAAAGATGAGGTAATCAGTCCCTCAGCCTTGGAGGTGGTGTTTACAGCACCGTGGTTGTAGAGATTCTGAAGCACAGGTAAGGAGACTGGCGCTTATATAGGCGTCAGTGAATAGGGACGTGTAGCAGACGAGGGCATAGTCACTTGTAGGCGGAATCCCCCAGTGGAAGTAGGTCCTACCCAAATTGATGGGTCAGTTGTAGAAGCCGTGAAGGAGGTCATGTAGATGGCCTCTGAACCAAGATTCCATGATGTTGCAGTGCCTGACAAGTTGTGCAAGACTGGTATACATAACCGACAAGATGAAAGTTGTGCAAGACTGGTATACCAGTCTTGCACAACTTGTCAGGCACTGCAACATCGTGGAATCTTGGTTCAGAGGACATCTAAACGACCTTCTTCACGGCTTCTACAACTGACCCATCAATTTAGGTAGGACCTACTTCCACTGGGGGATTCCGCCTACCAGTGACTATGCCCTCGTCTGCTACATGTCCCTATTCACTGATGCCTATATAAGCGCCAGTCTCCTTACCTGTGCTTCAGAATCTCTACAACCACGGTGCTGTAAACACCACCTCCAAGGCTGAGGGACTGATTACCTCATCTTTTGTATACAGTTCTTCTGTTTTCTAATTATGTCCAAGAATCTGTATTAATAAAGCCACTGGATGGCAAAACATCTACAATAAAGATAACCACATGTTGCACAAGTGTCTTAACTTTCATCTTGTCGGTATTGTATATGTACCAGTCTTGCACAACGAGTCCTATCTTGGCTGGAAATTTTCAGCACGCTATTTACATCCCCTTTATTTATTCCTGTTTTCCATTTATACACCTCGATCATATCCCCCTTAATTCTACGCCTTTCTAGAGAGTGCAGATTCAGGGCCCTCAGTCTATCCTCATAGGAAGATTTCTGATACATGAGATCATCTTTGTCATCCTCCTCTGCATGTTTTCCAGAGCATTTATATCCATTCTGTAATATGGTGACCAGAACTGAGCAGCATAGTCTAAATGAGGCCTAACCAAGGATATATAGAGTTAAAGAACAACCTGAGGACTTCTATTATTTATACTTCTAGATATGAAGTCAAGAATTTTGTTAGCTTTATTGCAAACACTAATGTCTTGGTTTTAGATTACTGCTAACCAGAACTCCTAAATCCTTTTCGCAATCAGTAGTATTAAGATCTACATTATTTAGTTTATATGTGGCACGGTTATTTAACTGTCCAACATTTAGAACTTTGCATTTGTCAATATTAAACTGCATCTGCCACTTCTTCGACCATTGCATCAGTCTATTCAAATCATCCTAGAGTGCTCTAGTGTCCTCATTAGAATGAATTGGACGGCCTATTTTGGTGTCATCAGCAAATTTGCTTATGTCGCTATTTATTCCCTCATCTATGTCGTTTATGTAAATTGTGAACAACAACGGGTCCAACACTGACCCCTGAGGAACACCGCTTGTGACGTGCCCCCATTCTGATTTCTCCCCATTTATGCAAACTCTCTGCTGCCTATTTGTCAGCCATGCCTCTACCCAGGAAAAAATTTCTCCTCCTATTCCGTGTGCCTTAAGTTTCCTCAATAGCCTCTGGTGTGGAACTCTATCGAAAGCCTCACTGAAGTCCATATACACAATATCATATTCATTACCATGAACTACCTCCTCAAACACCTTAATGAAAAAAATTAGTAAATTCGTAAGACAGGAATGCCCCATTGTAAAACCTTGTTGAGATTTATTAATCAATCTGTGCCTATCAAGAAGGCTACGAATTGCTTCGGCGATTATTGATTCCATAAATTTTCTCACTATGGAGGTAAAGCTTATTGGTCTATAGTTCGAAGCCAAGGACCTGTCACCTGCCTTGTAAATACGTATTACATTTGCCATTTTCCACTTATCAGGCACTATGCCAGTTTGTAGTGATATGTTAAAAAGATTAGCCAAAGGTATGCTAAGTTCCTCTTTACATTCCTTTAACACCCTTGCAAACAGTTCATCAGGACCTGGGGATTTGTTAGGTTTTAGTTTCTCTATTTGTCCGAGGACCATGTCACTAGTTACCGCAATTGTGCATAGTTTATTATCATCTTGTTCTACATAATCTATTATTTCAGGAATATCGCTAGTATTTTCCTGGGTGAAAACTAAGAGGAAGTAGGTATTGAGAATTTCACACATATCCTTATCAATGTCAGTGATCTGACCAGAGTTACTCTTAAGTGGGCCAATCTTGTCATAATCTTACTTCTGTATATCTGAAAGAACCCTTTTCGGTTAGTCTTTGAATCCCTTGCGACCTTAGCCTCATAATCCCTTTTTGCTTTTCTTATTACTTTCTTTATTTCCCTCTTTAATTGAATATATTGATTTCTTAACTGCCCATCCCCTCTTTTGATACGCCTATACAGTGGTCCCTCAATAATTGTCCGGCCTGAAAGTCGTCCATTTCGGAAATAGTCCCGTTATTTCGTCTAAACATTGGCTCGCAAATGGTCCATTAACTCGCTAATCGTCCTTCGTCCGGGACACGTACTCACGCTCTGAGCCGCCTGGGCCTGCCTTCTCAGCCAGTGTGCCATTGTTTACCAGTGTGCGATGGTCCCCTCACTTACTCCCACGAAATATTTCATAATATTCCATTGATTTTAGTGTTTGCAAGTGCTAAATAAGCTACCATGGCTCCAAAAAAAGCTTCTAGTGCCTGTCCTTTGGTAAAGAATGTGAGAAACATAATTTATGAAAAAATTTGTAGAAAAATATAAAGGTGGTGGTGGTGGTGATAGAGTGGAAGCAGTTGTGATAGTGGTTGATGGTGGTAGAAGGTAGTAGTGATGGTAGTAACAGTTGTAATAGTGGTTGAAGGTCGTAGTGATGGTGGTAGAGGGTTCCTTCTTTAGTGATTCAGCGATTCTACCAACTCCTCCAATGTTGAGGAAATGGTATGGTGATACCTACAAGATGTGGAAAAAGACACTTATGTACAGTTCAGGACATTTATTAAAGGAAACGTTTTGCCACGAGTGGCTTCTTCAGTCCTAATACAGAGAAAACTAAGAAAACGCATATATATATAGTGGCAGGAGTCAGGTGAAGTGACGCGTGGGTAGAGGTGGTAGTAGTAGTGGAACTGTGAGGTTAGAGAGGGACCTGCTGACATCATAGAACAGCAGTTCCCAGGATGGGTGATATCCTCTTGATTAGTAATTTTGAAATACTGTAACTAAAGGATTTTTGTTTTATAGTGTTACTGACAGTTTAGACCATGTTTTAATACATCCTGAACTGAAACAAGTTGTAGTAATAATGATAAGGGATGGTTCAAAACACTGTCTTTATTTTTTATTATTATTATTATTATCACACTGGCCGATTCCCACCAAGGCAGGGTGGCCCGAAAAAGAAAAACTTTCACCATCATTCACTCCATCACTGTCTTGCCAGAAGGGTGCTTTACACTACAGTTTTT